TAGATTCAAAAAATCTTTTCCTTCTCAACTTAGACAAAATTGATGGAAATAGCCCAAGATCAACTTTGATATTCAGATTTCCCAAGGAACATACGATAAATGGATATATGTATATACACAAGGTAGTGCGAACCACAACAAGAACACATGCCGTATTATTCATAGTGCGTTTCACTTAGTAACAATCACTGCAATAGTGAAAGTCAACCCCACTACTTTGCAACACGATTTTAAGCAAGGATCCTCCACAATTTTATTTTTTGTTATTTTTTTTTAATTAAATTAGCACTACGTTTTTTATGAGGATGGCCACCTTATTGCTCCAAGTAAGAACATCACATAGTAATATGCAATGCGTGTCACTAGCTTACGCCCTTTCTCAATATTTTATGTCCCAGACGCTCTTTTCACAGTCGATCCCGCATTGGGAAACGAACCATGTGCTAACTATCGCTCTAGATCATTTATGAGAAGGCAGCTCTTTGTGACAAAAACCAAAATACAGAAAATAAGTACGTTCCTCGGTACCATAAGAACACGCAGTCAGTCTTAGACAATCAACACCTCTCAAGTTTTCAGAAGAGTTAGAACTTCAATCAAGAATCCAGTGGTGCAGAGAATGCAAAATGCAAAATATGCCTAATGCGAAATACCCTATATGCTTACACGCAATGCAATAGATACTTACTAGTAATATACAATACAATATAATATAATGCAAAGTCACACAAGCATTCAGAATGAGCAGATCCCTAAGGATTTCCTTAGAGAAATGAACCTTTGAGAATCCAGTGCCATAGTGAAGATGTCAGCCAACTGGTTTTGCATAGAAACATACTCAAGTATAATCACATCATTCTCAACTAAATCTCTAATAAAGTGATACCGAATATCTATGTGTTTAGTCCTAGAATGTTGAACCGGATTCTTAGAGATGTTAATAGCACTGGTATTGTCACAAAAAAGGTTCACGGTTCTTACCTCAAGACCAAACTCAATCATCATTTACTTCATCCACATGAGCTGAGAACAGAAACTTCCAGCAGATATGTATTCAGCTTCAGCTGTCGAGAGTGCTACGCAATTTTGCTTCTTACTAAGCCAGGAGATGAGATTATTGCCAATGTAGAAGCAACCACCAGAGGTACTGTGTCGATCATCGACGTTCCCAGCCCAATCGGCATCACTATAACCTGCAAGACTAGAAGACGTGTCTCGTGAGTACAGGATACCCAAGTCAGATGTACCATGCACATATTTGATAATGTGCTTCACTGCCTTCAAGTGTGATTCCTTAGGATTGGCTTGGTACCGAGCGCACATCCCTACACTAAAACACAGATCAGGTCTACTGGCGGTCAAATAAAGCAAACTACCAATCATGCTTCTATAAAGCGTAGAATCAACAAAAGTTCCAGAATCATCCTTGGAAAGCTTAGAGTGGCTCCCCATAGGAGTTGTTGGACACTTAGAATTTTCAAGACCAAATTTTCTCACAAGATTCTTGGCATATTTGGTCTTATGAAGAAATATCCCCTCCTTTGATTGTTTAACTTGCAACCCTAAGAAATAGGACA